TCACAATCAGCTCACAGGGTTAGCACCATTCTCTCCTAGAACACTAATTTTACTATATTTCTCACTATTTGATAAGTTGTTTCTTCCCCAAAGTATCCAGATGCGGTTCAAAATATAGTCTTCATTCACCAGAGACAATTTCCTCATGACTGATATGTTTTTATAATGGTGCATTTTTGAAGTCCTAAGCATAAAAAATGTGGATTTCACACTTTTACCTTTGGATGACTTTCCCTGGGAACTGCACAGTGTATTTGCTAGGTTAATCATTCTATGTTTAAATATTCTTCTGAGTCAGGTGATAAGACATTATTAGCTGCTCTAAGTTTTAATTATTCTAGCATTGTGAGCAGGTGTTCTGAAATACTCTTAGCAACTGTGAGCAGCTCTAGCTTCATTGCAAGTTGAACCACATCCATCATAGTAGTAGTCCTTCTTTGCTTCAGCTACTGCACAAATCTTTACCCTGAATATCACTGATGACTTTATCACATGCCAGTGTTAATATTGTAGGACATGAACTGGTACCAAAATCTGGTCGCATGCAAATTTTGAGCAATTTCCTTATCCATAAAGCAGACTCTCCAATCTAGAGAACAATTGTGATGAATTTGTGCATACAGTTTTGTACCATTAACAAGATGAAGTTTATAAAAAGGTTGGCAAATAATTAATTCACAGTCTCTCAGCTTCATTTAAAAGAAAGATGGCTATAAACCTGAAATCCCATTCCACCACATCTTTGAAGCCCTCTTTGCAGCTTCATTGGATTTTGTGGTTGCTCTATTCTGAGGTGTGTAAAAGTTATCAAAACATGTGTAAGATTCTATCTTAAAAGGTTGTTACATTAGAAATTGTGTCAGACAGTAGTGTGCAATTATAGTCATCACACTGACCATGATTGACAGTAGGTGAATTAGTTCCAAGGGCAACATAGAACCTGGACATCTCATCTTAAACAGCCCCCCAAAGTCTTACGTAAACAAGTACCTTGTTTACTTGGAAATAAACAATCTCTTGAGTTTCACTCTTGACTTCAACCATAAGACATAAAAATACCTAATGACTGATATAGAAATTTTATCATAACAAATATACTCATGGTTGACTAAAACACTTTTAAATGTTTATTTTGAGTCACCTTTTCTACATACTCCTAAAAAAAAAAGTCTTTTGTAGAATATCTAACATTCTTAGTGAAGCTGGAATACTATTATATCTATAGAGAAAAGTATTACCAAGCACTACAAAAGAATGTATCAATCAAACTCTTGTAATAGTCAATTATAAAGATACACAAGGGTTATCTGTGCTAACCACCTGTACTTTGAAGTGATAAGACTAAAGGGAATGCAGCTAGTCAACAACACCCACCACCAACTCTTGAGCTACTCAAATCAAATAGTAAGATCTGACTGTTACTCTTATAACACATGCCTATATTTTTTAACACTGCATCGTACCCGAGTTTTGCTCGTTTGCTCAATCCGGAGCTCATTAGACTATTATTATTCACTCTTCTAATTCTTGAAAATCCCTAAGGGATTATATATAGAATGCAGTGTTAAAAAATATAATAGACTTTAATACATGCATCTAATGACAAGTAAATTAACTATAATCATGCTTCACCAGCTTGAAAAAGGTGTTCACACCATAACAGATGTGGTTTCATGGGAACGACTTTAATACATGCATCTAATGACAAGTAAATTAACTATAATCATGCTTCACCAGCTTGAAAAAGGTGTTCACACCATAACAGATGTGGTTTCATGGGAACTTCAAGATGTATTGTAACAGATTTATTAAAATTGTTATATAAGCTAGTATAATTTCAACACAGTTTTATATGTTGTGCAACAGTGGTTATTTTGTTAAGTGGAAGTATGCTAACCTTAATAGCATAGAAACATCCTAGTTACAGAATTTGATTTTTTAATCATTCTACTTTCTGTGTCCTTCTGCAATATCACATGCAAGTTGTTTTAAGCGTTAAAAATATTCCATTATATCACTTGTTCTATTTATCTAGCTGTAAATTTCTGAACATACAATTCAAGATTTGTCATGTACTGAGATAAAGTAAATATATGTTTGAACATATATTGCTGTCAACATGTTCTATAAAGGTTCATGTTTGTACATAATACATCCATGATCCAGTATAATTAACCTTCTCTCATCCACCCAAGTATAGCATTAAGTTCATGTTAGAATGAATGTTGGTTGCATGGAAAATTACAATAATGTGGAAATAAAACATAAGGTAGTAATGAAATAAAGGTGTCAAAATACACATTACACCAAACAAGAATTGATTTTTACGTATTGTCTTTTTATTTTGTAATGCAGAAACATTTGGTTAAGCACTGGGAAATACATCTCAAATATACAAGTGACTTGAAATAATTATCGACAATAAATATCACGATAAGATTTTCAGTAATTCCAAATTATCAATAAAGCATGTTAAAGTTTGAATCCCTATTTTATTAAGTGTCTTTCTGCGTAAAAAAAATGTTTTGTTCTTTTTATTGATAACTAAAGCTTAAATAAAATGGCAATAGTATAAAGAAGTCTAAATTCTGCACTAACTTGTGCTTTTCATTACATATATACATGTATTAAATTATGGAATGTATCACTTAATACTTGTTTTACACTGAGTACATAAAATATATTCAATCACATTGTTTCCTAGTAAGGTATACTTTGCAAGTTCTTTTTAACATAAACTGTAATTTAGACACAGAAATTTTATAAAACATGAGAAAATTTTAATTATCAATAAATTTGTTAACTTACTGCCTATAGTTAAATTTACATGTTTTTAGTCCTAAGAAAGACAACTTGAAACAGTTATAACAGTTTAAGCTTGATAATAATACCATTCCATAAATATCATCTCATGAATAAACATAATACATTTTGATAAATTTTAATTATACATCAAAGTAACCTACAACATAATTTTTAGATATTTAGTGTTCTAAGTAAAAAAACGTACTGTTCAAAATATATCAGTTATTAAGAAGATAAATACTAGTAGCATATTCTATAAAAATTGTTTGCATATAACGTATTCATGAAGTACAAACACAATAAACAAAAGTTATATATATATATATATATATATATATAT